ATGTAGCTCCACGGATCTAGATCACGGTGTATTGGTAGTTGGATACGGAACAACTAAAGACGGGAAAGATTATTGGTTGGTTAAAAACAGGTAGGAATATACAAATAAAGCAAAATTACTACTTTTAAATTGAAATTTTTCAACACTCAGAAAGATTGTAAAACTTATTTTTTACTTTTTCCAGCTGGGGTACAAGTTGGGGTCTTAACGGGTATATCATGATAGCTCGGAATTGCAAGAATATGTGCGGCATTGCGACTATGGCCTCTTATCCTTTGATGTAAACAATTCTGTTGAAGACAATAAGCGAATGTTTTTTATCGTTATTTCTTATATGAAAGAATATTTCTAATATTACTTTTGAAAATTAACAAAGAATGAATTTACTTTTATAAATTAAAAAGAAATGTTTGCTGAAAACTTTTCTGCATGGGAAATAAATAGAATTATTAAAACTGAGTTTTCGTAAGTATTTAAATGATAATTATTATATTTAATCTATAAGCAAATATAAAGTATATTGTGTACAGTACATGAATCGTAGAAAAGGGTAATTTCGGGATAGATGGGTACGGTTTTATAATATAAATACACTACCTAAAAAAGATAATATCACATCATAAATATACAAAGCTAATGCTACAAGTTGCTGAGTGCCAGTTATGCTAACGATTGCATTTTCACGCCAATCATACGAAAAGCGCGAGAGATATGTTCTTGGTAGACAACATCCGGTAAATTCGTCAGCCGAAATGGCTTGACGGCGGTCAGAAGTGAGTTGTTACTGTGTATGGCAAAGGATTGTTCCTTTCCCATACACAGTAAGTCACAATGGGCGCCAATATTTTTAAGGCGTCGTCGTTCGTAATTTAGGCAAACGGATAAGTTTATGAGAAATTTCATCGTTGCTCTTTGTATCGCTAGTTAATTCCTTGCTCCGTGTTTCAGAAGAAATGAAACGTGATAGGCATTAGACAATTTGGAGTGTGGTCCCAGGAAGGTAGAGTGCAAGAAAGCATGGAGACGGACGTCATAGTTGACGGATTGTCGCGTTCGATGGTGGACACAGAGTCCATAGCTGGCTACATTATACGAGCCGTACACTGATTTTGGAATGCTGACAGTGGTAAGCGTATTGGCTGTAGCAGGTTTGCTGTCCCTTTGTCCATTGCAAAGTCTACCGTTAACAGTGACGTCACCACTTGGGATGTTATTACACCAGAGCTACGTGTGATGCCGAATGGAACAGTATAGTGTTTAGCAACGACTCGCGGTGTCTGTCTCGCCAATGATGATCGTCGTGCGATAGTCTGAAGGCGACGTGGCCATCGGGCGGATCGTTAAATATTCTCCTATAACTGATCTTTGATTGGTGTCACGTATCTTTCTTTTCTCCAATCAACTGTATCCGGCAAAACAACATTAGAAAGGTTCGTCAAAATATATATACTGTAGGTTTTGCCAGTGCCGGATTAACTCACTTTGGGGCCTTAGACATTTTTTTCTTATCGTGCTCCCTCCCTCTCCCATAAGAAATAGACCACAAAAATAATAAAATAATAAATAAAACAAAACTATAACAAATTTTAAAGTTTTATTAATAAAAAATATTTAATATACAACAATAAATACACATAAGAACACATTTTCTTTAGATTTTAGAATTCACAATAATCATATAAAAAGCAATATATTTTTGTTTATTTGTTTATTATATACATTTGTCCAACAGAAAAGTGAACTATTACAAATCTTTTCAAAATAGACAGTTTGACCGGGCCTTTCTAAAATCCAGGCCCTAGACATTTGTCTTATTTGTCTATGCGATGATCTGGCCCTGTGTATATTGTGTATATTATAATATTTTCATCCAGTTCTCATTTATTTTTACACTTAAATTTTTGTTGATACAATTTCTGGCTGTTAAAATTGAGACACTTTCTTTAAATTTTCTATTATACATATTTTTCTCTTTGTATAGGATTTTAACATTATTTTTATCTATATTACAGTCATTTATTAAACAATGGTCATGAAAAACAGAGTTTAGTCGATTATATTTGAGATCTGCAATATGTTCTTTTA